CCTGTAATCCTAGCACTCTGGGAGGCTGAGGCAGGTAGATTGCAATAGAAAAATCAGCCAGACCTTGTGCTGGGTACCCATAGTCTTGGCTACTTGGAAGGCTGAGGTAGGAGGATTGCTTGAACCCAGGAGTTTGAGGTTTCTGTGAGCTATGATGATGCCATAGCACTCGACCTCAAGGCGACAGAGACTGTCTCCAAAAAAAAAAAAAAGGACATTTTATCACCATTTAAGTCATGTAGAGTTTACCATTTGATCAGTTCACCTGAAGTCTTAGCTAACACATATGGTTTTGAATTTGCTGGCTAAAGAGTTGGAGTTTAGACAGTGTCTCTTCCATGATGTGGCTTAGCTCCATTTATCTGTTTTGCAAGTCACAGAATGTATTTGTCAAATGTGATTTCTGTTTCAATTTTCAGTTCCTCCATCTCAGAATTGCTGTCAGCAAAGCTAGTTTCTACTTTCTCAATCTCATTGGTTTGTTAGCTTGTTTGTTTATTCTTCTTAACAACTAAAAGCAGTAGTAGATTCAATATTCCAACCCAAAGCAGCCTGAATACTCAGCCAGGACTTTTCTATCAGACGGGTCCCCTAGAGGTTAAAGCAGTCTTTGAAATAGGCATAATCTGCTTGTCCCTAATACATAACAAATATGATTCCACAGTATCAACCATTCCAGGCACCCTAAAATATACAGGTAAATACAGCATTGCATGATTTCCAGAGCCCCCCAGATGCAAGGGCAAAACACATAAATACACAGTTGTGTGTAGGAAGTAAGAATAAATTCTAGAAAGTAAAGATCATATGTCCATGTAAAATGTCAATATAATTGTTCTACTGATTGCAAACAGTTGTTTCAAATTCTTTCACAAGGAAAAGAATCTAGAATACAAGAGATAAGATTCAAAATTAAAATGGAACACTACCGGAAAACTTAATACATTCACTTGAATTTCCTTGAAGTATAAATGATAGCATTAGAATCTTCTTTAAGGGTAGATTTATTTGATATAAGTATTTCAAATTGCATATAAAATCAGCACATTGTACCCCATAAATGCATTAATGTACACAGCTATGGTTTAATTTTTAAAAAGGGTAGATTTAAATAAGCAAAGAAAGAAACAAAAGAATTCCTAACATCTGCACCATAATTGGAAGCAGGAATCAGCAAACCATTTCTGTACAAGGCCACATAGTAAATACTTCAGGCCTCATGGGCCACACACAGCCAAAGTCAATAAGTGAACAAATGAGTGTGGCTGCATTCCAATAAAACTTTATTATGAATGCCAAAAACTTGAATTTAATGTAATTTTTACAGGTCATAAAATATTATACTTCTTTTTAATTTTTTCCAACCATTTGAAAACATAAAAACCATGCTTAGGCTTGTCTCTCAGGCTGTAGACACATAGGAAACACACTGGGTTTGCGTGGCAGCTATAATTTTCTGAGCCTTGCTTCAAAGACTGGTTCCTTCAAGGGTGGCCCACAGTCCGGCAGCATCAGCAGCATCTGGGAGCTTGGGCGAAATACAGACCTTCAAGGCCAACCCCAGATCCTCCGAAGGAGAATCTGCATTTTTAACAGCAATCACCACGGGTTTGCTTACACTAGAGTAAGGTCTATACAGACTGTGAAACTAGACCATGGCAAATTTCTGTGCTGCAGCCTCTCAGAAAAGTGACCCTGGGAAAGTTCTGACCCTGTCTGTGCTTCAGTTTTCCCAGTGCAAGATAGAGATGAAAGCATTGTCTCCCTATACATGGCTATGAGAATTATCACACACACACACACACACATACACATGCATACACAGGGCTTAAAACAGTATTTATCATTACTATTAGAATACCTTGAGTTACTTTCAGAGCTACCCTCTGACAGGAGCAATGCTTACACTCTCCCCAGAAGAAGCCCACGTTTCTTCCACCCTTGGTCCCCTTCTCAGGGCCACTCTCCATAGCCTCTTTTGGCTCATGCCCCTTAGATATTCCCTAAGAACATATCTGCCACACAAGGATCTCCTTGACTCACACCCCAAGTTGCCCTTTCTTTCCCTGAAATTTATCTTCCATTAAGTTGCATAATGTTCTTTACAACTTCTCTTTCTAGTTATAGATTGTAAATTTTTCCTCTGCTGAGTCTTGTAGCTGAATGACTGTTTTTCATTATATTTGTAGGGCTCAGGGAAAAAAAGAAAAAGGCAATTCCTTTATTTGAGAATACTGACATTTATTAGCATAATAAAACTCTCAAGATGAAATTGCAGTTTTCCAGACAGTAATTTCATTTGCAGGACAACTTACAAGGGATTTATTTTAAGGCCAGGTAAGACCTAAAATATATGAGACATGCAAAAAGTGCAGGCCCCAAATAAAATGAAATAAATGTGTTAGGGATGGAAAACTCAGCTGTTGTCTTTCACATATTAATTAGGGGTGACAGGAACAACTAACCAGGGATTCAGGGTCTCAGCCCATCTTGGTTTGCTTTCAAAGCTGCTGCTAATTCTTCGAACAGAAGCTTCTTCCAACACCTTGGAAATCATCACATCATATCCCCTGACACATCAGCGCTAAGCACAAAGTCATCGTGGCTATCATTGTGATGGCTGTTAGCAATACCTTTCATGTGGACAGAGCTTTCATATTCATCATTTAACTGACCTGTCAAAAAACCTAGTGATGGCCACACAGAAAATTCTCTTCTCGGTTATACTGAGGTTCACTGGAGTTCATGACTTAAACAAAGTCATGCAATTGTCAAATAGCAGAACCAAAACTAGAACTTGGTTCCTCTGAGTCCTAAGAGAAATAAGGTAATTTTGATAATAAGCAGTTATAGTTTTAAGGCACTTTAGAATTCAAAAGTAGGTCATCCCCACCCATCACTTCATTATATGCATTCAGTGAGACAGATAGAAGGGAGGGAAGCCATGCAGCTGAGTTGCAAAATTGTTATTACTGAACATATTTGTATAATGGGTCCTTTTCTTGCAATTCCCTGAGGCAAAATCCTATACGCTGCTACTTCTGGGAGTCCAATCCCAGAGGAGCAGGGGAGAGAGGGAGTAAGGCAGAGAAAAAGGAAGAACAAATACGGGGTGTCAGGCTGACCAAGTTACTGCTGGGTTTCGTCATGACTAGTTGCAGATCTTGCAGGACTGTCTTCAGAGAGGCAATGTGAAGAGCTGCCTCCCGGAACAGTCCCTTCAGGAGGAAAAAGGAGAGGAATTCATCCACCAGCCTCTAATCCCCATTGATTTAAGGTTTATTACAGCATGGGGCATTAACTTCCCGGCCCTGCTGTGTCTTACGCCTCTGTAGCAACAGGAAATGAAGCATGTGGAAAGGTACCATTGGCTTATGCTCACATGAGGCTGACGGACACAGTGAGGGGAGCAGACCCCATGCACAATCAGTGACCTTGGCAGCAGCTAGAACAGTGGTTCTCAACCTTCCTAATGCCGGGACACTTTAATACAGTTCCTCACGTTGTGATGACCTCCAACCATAAAATTTTTATTTTCATTGCTACTTCATAACTGTAATTTTTTCTACTAGTATGAATCGTAATGTAAATAACTGATATTAGGTGACCCCTGTGAAAGGGTCGTTTGACCCCCAAAGGGGTCACAACCCACAGATTGAGAACCACTGGGCTACAAGGATCCGAGAAACAAGTGAGGCAAGAGGTGAAGTAGAGCACGGAAGATGTGTGATACAGCTACCAAGAAATAAGGCAAACCAGAGTCCATTCATCCCTTTCCTCCTGTCAAACACGATGCTGCAAACATGATAATGCCAGGAAGCTCCAGGGTGCATATCTGAATCCAAATCCTCTTAACTGTAGACACCGTAATCATCTATTTACATGACTATAAATACAGAACCCTAATTTTCACAAATAGATGCCATCCCAGAGAGTTACTGAGGAGTTATTAGAACAGTCATCCTATTAATATGAAGAACGTACTCAGATTAAGTGGACAGTAGAATCAAAATCAAAAGGATGGTGCCAATCATTTGAGTATCCTGCATAATGAGCGCCCCCTCCTGGACAGCAAAGGCCTTGTATCTAAAAAACATTCTTGGATTTATAATTCACCCTAGCGTTACATGAAAACACTGCTTCAGTAATGCGACTCCATAGCCAATATAGGATTCAAAGACAGAAGAAGGTAGCAGAAAAAGAGGTTACAAACAGAAGGTAGGATATTATCAATCACTCGCCCTGCCAGCTGGGGCTCAGGAAACTTAAGTAAGTCCAATAATAACATGTATGGTGGTAAGAAGGAATATTATGAAAGATGCATCATCTATGTCTGCCATAGAAAGCTTTTATAATCTCTCTTCTATTATTTATGTGATTTTATAAAAAGTGACAAGTAGCGGGCAGTACCTGTGGCTCAGTGGGTAGGGCACCAGCCCCATATACCAAGGGTGGCGGGTTCGAACCCGGCCCCCACCAAACTGCAACAAAAAAATAGCTAGGCATTCTAGCAGGTGCCTGTAGTCCCAGCTACTCGGGAGGCTAAGGCAAGAGAATCACTTAAGCCCAGGGGTTGGAGGTTGCTGTAAACTATGATGCCACAGCACTCTACTGAGGGCGACATAGTGAGACTCTGTCTCTTTAAAAAAAAAAAAAACATAAAAAGGTGATAAGTAGGAAATACCTTACTAGAAACTATTACTGATTTGCTGTTGGAAAACTTTTAGAAGAAGTACATTCATTCAACAAACATTTATCGAATGTCTACCAAGGTTTAACCATTTTTAATTCAGGGTTCGGCACCAGAATTATTTTGGATTTCTAAAACTCACGCAGTCTAGGAGCTCAGTTGAGGGTAGCCATGGAAAATAGGCTTTTCTTCTGAGGTCATAGCTAAACTCTTCTGAAAGAGTTGCATCAGCTATTAGCAATTTATGTACTGAGCATCAGGATGAGAGCAGCAGCCCATATGCCAAACATTTCATATCCCTTGAGACACACTAGTCGACTTGTTCCTTTCAACAGTGATGGATCTTCCAGAAGTCCACAAGGATTTGAGCTGGGAAGTTTTTATGCTGAGTTCAAAAAGAGGATGCCCAGAGAAATCCAACTGATAAGAAGAAGAAATCATTCAAACAACAGATGGTAGTCTGGTGGGCTGTCCCTCTGTCCACAGGGTTCCTGCAGCAACTCTCCCCCTGAAACAGTGATAATTTCCTCCTAAAAGGAGAAGAAAAGGAAAATTCACTTATAATCAAGAAAGGGAAATAAACGTCTACCCGAGAGAAGCCGATTTAAGACAAATAAACAACAACAAAAAAATGTGTCTGCCTCTCTTGCATTCCAATTTCTAGAATTAACAGGATAAAATCTGCCTTTAAAAAGAAATAAATCCATAAAATTATGGAAACTAAGAAGAAATACCATCAGCAAAGTGAAAATGATTAAGTGAAATAATCCTTGAAAAAACAAGGGACATACAGGATGGGCTTGTCAGAGGGGTCAGTGTGGGGCAGGGGCTAGGACAAGTTGGGGACAGGTTGGGGAACTCCAGACAGGTGTTTGCATCAGAGGTGTTTCCCTCAAGCAGGTCGGGAAATAAGGAGAAGCACACAATTTCTTGGGAGTCCAAAGAGATCCGAAAAGTTCAAACACTCCTAAACCTAAAAGACAAAACACCCACTGTCAACGCCAATCTCTACAGCATAAAGAAACTGGATTTAGGAAACAGAAACTCTTATCTACTCATGGACAAACATGAAATTTTAAAATAGAAGATCAACTCTAGCCCAAACTTCACAAACATTTAAGGAAAATCATAGCCACCAAAGAAAGATGCCAAACTCGGCAGTAGAAATGATCCCCAAGAAAAAAATCAAGTCTATAAAACAAAGAAAAGAAGCCTTTGAGAGATGTGTATTAATCCCTTCCATGGAATAAGATAAGCTATCTATTAAACAAGAATGAGCCATTACAAAAAAAAAAGAAACTAAAGAACCTGGATATGGCTTGGTGCCCATAGTGGGTAGGGCACCAGCCACATACACTGGGTTCAAATCTAGCCTGGGCCTGCTAAAATCAACAATGACAATTGCAACAGAATAAACAGCTGGGCGATGTGGTGGGGGCCTGTAGTCCCAGCTACTTGGGAGGCTGAGGCAAGAGAATGGCTTAAGCCCAAGAGTTTGCAGTTGCTGTGAGCTGTGACGCTACAGCAGTCTACCAAGGGTGACATAGTGAGACCCTACCTCAACCAAAAAAAAAGCAAAGAAAGAAAGAAAGAATCTCAGTATGAAAAGCTTAACCATTTAAATTAAAATGTAAAAAAATTTCAGTAGAAGAACTGAACAACAGAACAGACATAACTGAAGAACAATTTAGTTATTGAAAGAAATGCCACATCAATAAGAAAGAGACATCTTAATAGAAAAATGAACAGAGGATATGAATGGATGATTGACGGCAGATTAAATCTGAGTGGCCATTAAACATATGAAAATATCCTCAGCATCAGCGGCTGTCAGAGAAAGGCAAGCTAAACCACAGTGAGATTCAGGGTCTGTCCATCTCATAGGAAAATAGGAAATGACTAAGAGGTCCCAATGTTGGCAGCAGTCTGGGGGAACAGCCTCATATAGTTTTGGCAGGAGTCTGAATTTTGAAGGGCGATCTGGCAGATCTTTTCTAATTAAAATGTGCTTATTCTCCTCTCTGGCAATCCCAGTGTGAGGGACCCATCCTAGTGACGGATGCATCCATAGTGACAGATACGGGAAGTCTGTGCAGCATTGTTTGTGATCATGAAAAACTGGAAGCCAGATAAGCGGCTGTCAAGAGGAGAATGGGTAATTAGACTGTACTACATGTATACATCCATACCACGGAACACCGTGGGGCATTCACAAGGATTAATACATGAATTGACATGAAAATATCTCAGAGACATATGTGAATAATAGCCAACATGTCCTGATAATTTCTGAGTGTGAAGTATATTTTTCCATCACTGTAAATAGTGATTTCTCATTGAAACCTCACAGGGGCCTAAAGAGGGGGGCGCTATTATGAAACCATCTCACCAAGGAGGAAACTGAGGCACAAAAGTCTGAGTTGTTGCCCAAAGTCACACACAGTAATGAAGTTGGGATTTCAAACTCAGCATCTTGATCCCAGGGACCAGGCTTTTTAAAACTACATTCCATGATTTATTTAGCATATAAAAAGCCAACTTGTCCATATGCAAATTATGTGAAAAATAACAAAACTATGTATTTCCTTATGCACATAGGTTTTTATGTTCCTGCCCAGGAAATACTTAGATAGACCCCTGGCAGATTGATACTTCACGGTGGACAATGGAAATGGGGATTTGGAATAAAGGAGTCTCTCATTTTGTATTTTGTTTGATTTTTTTTCTTAAAATGTAACCATGAATTCATTGTGCCATTAAATTTTTAATTTATAAAAACTGGCCGCCAGATCTCCAGACGGGCATAGATATATCGGTAAAGAAAAATGTTAGAGAAGAAATTGTCAGTCTCACAAGTTTAGATTTGGAAGAGAAAAAGACCTTCAAAAACATTTGGTCTGGCCTTTCTATTTAAGAACCTGTCCTGAAAGATGGACGCTTACCCTTTGCTTGAAACATGTCCGAGAACAAGTAGCTTATCACAGCTAAGGCAGCTTACATGGTACAGGGAAAGCAAAACAATGTGGTTTGGTGGGGAAAGCACACACTTTAGAGACAGACAGCAAGAAACTCAGCTCCTGGTCCTAGCTGGTACCAGCCAGGAAAACAGCCTTGGTTCCCCAACTTGTGAAATAGGGCTAAGATGGCTCCCTCACAAAGCTACTGGACAGATTAAATAAGAGCATGAACAACAGAGCAACAGGCTCAGTGCTTGACACCCCGAAGGGGCCAATACCCACGCATCCCCCCTCTCTTTCCTCCGGTTGTTAGAAGGATACACAAGTAGAAAACTACCTTGATTTTGCTTGGTCCAATTTTCTGGGAAGTACTTTCTACTTAGTGCCCAGGTATTGTGAAGGGGTGATTTTCTAAGTGCCTTATTCCTAAGGTCAAGTTAAGCACTATCCTTAGAGCCCTGGAGACATTCAGGAACAGAGGAGGGGAAAGCAATACAACTACAAGAGTTCCTGTTAGAGTAAAAGCCCAGAGAAATGGTCAAATTATTCTGTGAACCTTTGTACACCTGCACAGCTCAGGAAGGTGTTGGACCCAGGAGCGGCCACTTCTGCCTCCCAAAATCTTTCAGTTCAGTCAGTTCTCAGAAGCCTGGCTTGAAGTTCACAAAAGGGACAGTCTTGGGAATGAGTTGTAGTGTGAGATCTGGGCTTGGAGACAGGGCTGATCAGCCAAACCCTAGTGCTGAAGGAGGGAGCCCTCAGGTACTTAAGATGAAAAGAGGCCTGGGGACCAGACTTAGGTGCACACGTGTGGCCCCAGAGGATGAGCCAGAGAAAAGGACATGGGCTCCAGGGCCTGGTCTAGACAACCTCTTGCCTCTTCTGTCCTGATGCTCTATTTCTCTGAGCCCCTCCAGCCCCATCGCTTGGTGCCTACAGCCTTGCTGCCTGGCTTTGCTTGTTCTGGCTCTCTCTTCAGCTCAAGTTTCTACCAGTTCCATCCCCAAATTAGTACCCCTTAGAGTGATACCTTGTGGAAATCAATGAGATCTGTGAGTGTAGCATGGCGATTGGGGTCCACTCCCAGGAAGCTGTAAAAATCTCCAGAGGCATCCACAAGAAAGTGCTTGAACCCTTTCTGCAGGCGGTAGGAGAGGGTGTAACCCCAGATTTTCTCACTGACCCGGACCAGAAATGCTCCCTCAGTCATGTTCTCCAAGAGATCTTCTGCATTTTCTCGGCTAATAATCCCTGGTTTAAAAAAGAAAAAAAAAAAGTCAGCAGGTTCTGCACCCCCTTGCACCCCTCCCTCATGTCTCCCCACCCTTGGCCCTGTGGCTCAGTCCACATGCCATCCGTGGGGGCCAGGGCAGCCAGGAGGGAAGGTGCCTCAGCCTGCCCCTGTCTCCTTCCACAGAGGGAGCAACCTGGACCCGAACTGAGTGTGCCAGTTAATTAAGTCATCCTAATTTGAATTAATTGGATACCCAAGGAATTAGTAATGCCCTGAGATTATAGCATCTATCGCCCTGTGGAACGCCCTGAGTCCTGCTTTAACGATTAGACTAAAATGACGGCTGCAGCTGCCTCACTTATCTCTCTGGGACCACAAATGAGCACCTGAAAACAGGATTTTCCCTTAAAGAGTAAAAGGGCTTCCTCCAAATATCTGTGGACTCCAGAAAAAACGTTTCCTAACAAGGACACAGAATTAAGCTTCATTTCAGCTCCAAGAATGAAACTTCTTTTGAGGTTGTGCAGTCTTACACAACACGGTTTCATCATTAATATGGAAGTCACATCTGGCCTTGGAGTTTTTGACATGCCAGTGACAATGCCCTGAAATGCTTTTAGGCAGTTGCTGTCATCTGGGTGACGTGAGAGAGGTGATGTGTTGGGGAGATCAGACTCGAGTCAGGAAGGTGGGAAGAGGAGGGGAAGTCAGAAGTCTTGGGTTAACTCCTCGACTGTGCCCTCACCTGGCTATGGGATCCTCAGCAAGCCCTCAACTCTCCAATGTCCTTTGACACTGATGTGGTCATAACCCACCTACTTCAAAGGCACATTATGACTTTCAAGTCAGGAAAAGAATTCTGTAAAAATATTCTACAGAAAAGAATCTTTTTACACACTGAGAATAGCTATGTAAATGTTGGATCCCGTTATCTGTTATTTTGGGGGAGAGATGAATTGCAACAAGTCCCTTTGCACACCACCTGGATGCCTTGTACACACATTCACCATCGGTGGTGAGCAGAGGAATGAAGTGGCTGGGTTGCTCCTCACATGACCCTAAGAGGTGACTGACTTCTGACCTGAAACCCTGATGCCACGCCCACTCCTGAGCGAACCTGCAGTCAGACTCCCCCTTACCCGCCACTCCCATTGCTTTCCTACCCAAAGTACTAGGAACTTTCCTTGTGCCTGAAAAGAAGACACAGAGACCACCGCACTCTCAAAGCTCCACCTTTTAAAGTCACAGTCAACATAATCAGGGGCCTCCCGGTTCCCCCTTGCCCAGGACATATCAAGAGGCAATCAAGCCAACTGGCCAATCAAGCTATGTAAGTAGAAAACTAGTGAGGTAAGGGGAGACAGAGGCAGGGATGGGGGCTGGAGGAAGAAGGACCAGAAAAGGACACCCCCATCCCTACTCCAAGTACCTCCAGCTAAAGCACAATGGGGCTAGGGACTGAAGAAGACAAGAGTATTACAGAGATTGTGAGACTAACAGTCAAATTTGAACAAGACTCAATATTATAATATCCAAAAATGACTAGCAACATAAAATAACTATGTCCTGTCTCTCCCCCACCTAAAACCTAAGAAATGAGGGACTTCCCACTGGCCTCCAGCAGGGCCCAACCTCTAGCCCAGTGGACTAGTGGACTCTCCCTGTCCCACCCACACCTACATCTCCAGGCTTATCCACCACCTCAAGCTCCTTACTGGGGAAGCCTCATCCTCACTCCCAGTCCCCTCTGCCCCAGCTGACCCCCACTGCTCTTTGAAGACTGATATGTTCTCTCCCCCAGAAATCTCATGCTACCTCTGTGCAAGGTTGAAAAAGATGACCCTTTGAGTGGCTGAATCAGAAAAAGACGCCTCTCTGAGGCCAAACAGCAAAGCCCACAGCCTGATGGGAGAGGGGGAAGGCTGCATGTCAATCCCCAGGAGGGCCCCTTTATTCACTATACAACCTGCTCACCTGATCAGGAAATCATTTCTATCCAGGACGCTCCACTGGATACTCCACCTTTGGGTTTTCATAACATCCTACCAAAAACGCTACAGTGGATGAGTTAAACAGGCTGTGAACTGGGCAAGACGAGTCTGTGGCAGCCATAGGAAATGCTGCCCAGGCCTCCCTTCCAGACAGACCTGTGGCCAGGAGCAACATGGGTCCTTCAGGTCCCACCACAGAGGCACAATCTCCCCAGGCTGCTTCGAGCAGGGGATACCACAGCAGAGCCACTCCTGCCCAAGGTGGGTCTCCTCTAGCTAGCTCCTCCCCATCAGCCAGACCAAGACGCCCTCTGACTGCGCTCCAGGAGCAGGCTCTGATTACCCAATCATCCTTCTTCCATTCCCCCTCCAGTGGTGTCAGACCTGCCTCATTCTGAAGATCGCCCCCCCGCCACCTTCTCCTGCAACCTCTTCCCTTTGTCCTTCACAAGCATCTCCTCCAATCCATCTTTGGTACACCTGCTTCCCAGAAGACCTGAACTGACACAGACCCCTTGTCATCTTTATATCCTCTGTGCCTGGGATGTTGAGAGGCATGTGTGGGGCAGTGATCAAGAACATAGACTCAGCCAGGTGCAGCGGCTCACACCTGTAATCCTAGCACTCTGGGAGTTTGAGGCAGTGGATTCCTTGAGCTCAGGAGTTCCAGACCAGCCTGAGCAAGTGCCAGACCCATCTCTTAAAAAAAAAAAAAAACAGAGCATGGAGTCAAATCACCTTGTTCCATAGGTGGCTTTGGACAGGTTACTTAAACTTCTCTGAAACCTAGTTTGGTGCCTTCATCTATGAAATGGTACTGATAATAATTCCTACCTCTTAAGGTAACTGGAGAATTAATTAACACATGAATGTCCTCGCGACAGCACCTAAGAACATAATAAATATCTAATGTGATATAACTCATTGCACTGGATACACTAAATATCCTCCACAGGTTAGCAGTCAAGCTGAAAGAGAATTGTAAACCAGAGGACACAAGATTATCTTCAAGTAGATAATTTCAGGGTTTTTTTTTTTACTCATTAACAGGAAAAAGAAGCCCAGTGTAAGATGAGATCACTTATAAAAACAAGTAAATAAGAAGTTTCGTCTGTTGCACATCCTTGTAGCAACAAGGATTTAAAAGTCTAAAGAAAAAAAAAGAAAAAGGTCTAAAGAAGATAAAGATGCAAATATAATCGTAGATCAGGATTTCTCAGCATGGGCACTAGTGACATTTTGGGTCACTCAATTGGCTGCTGGTGGGGGCAGAGGGGCCTGTGCATGGTAAAATGTTTCATAGCATCTCTGGCCTCTACCTACCAGATGACAAAAGCATCTTGCAGTTGTGACAACCCAAAAGGTCTCCGTATTTATTGTGAAATGTCCTAGGAGCACAATTACCATGTTGAGAACCATTGACTTAGACACAGATCAGGTATCTTCAAAAACTGCTGGTGCTTTAGGGAGAAAAGGTGGCAGAACAATAATACTGTAGTGTGTGATATAATATATGCAAGACACATGCCTTCCACAATAATTTATATAAAAACTATCATTACTTTACAAACGTAAGATCTATGAGAGCAAGAATTTTGTCTGTTCCCCCCAACCCACTACATCTTTATGTCTAAAACAGTGTCTGGAAGTTAGGAGCTCAATGAATAGAGTTGAATAAATTATTAATTAATTATAATCCCATAACTAGCGTTTATGGAGTGCTGGAATTATGCTCACCACTGTGCTAAGACTCATAAACACTAGATCATTTCATTCAATTCTCATAACCACCCTTTGAGGTAGGGACTTGTTCCTTTAAAAAATATTTTATTTTATTGGGCAGCACCTGTGGCTCAGTGAGTAGGCACCAGCCCCATATACAGAGGGTGGTGGGTTCAAACCCGGCCCCGGCCAAACTGCAACAACAACAACAACAACAAAAATAGCTGGGTATTGTGGCAGGCACCTGTAGTCCCAGCTACTGGGGAGGCTGAGGCAAGAGAATCACCTAAGCCCAGAAACTGGAGGTTGCTGTGAGCTGTCTCACCACAGCACTCTACTGAGGGCAATAAAGTGAGACTCTGTCTCTTAAAAAAAAAAAAGGAAAAAATATATTTTATTATATGTAAGATGTACTAGAGATAATGATACATGAGGAGCTTTTGAAAACACCTCAGCCCTGCTTTTACAACTTCCTAAATGATCAGTCAGAACCACTTTGATTACCCAGGATCACCTCCCTCCCTTAAAATCAATGGGTTAGAGGCTTTAATTGCATCTGCAATACTACATGGATGATACATAAACTTATGAATTGCAACAAAATTGCTGTTAAAATTTTATATAACACAACAAACAATATTTTATAATATAAATGTGCTATTATGATTGATCATAAGCTTTTTCTGGCTCACTTTTCTGAAAATCATTTATTAGATCCTCAAAATTTATACTTTTACCAACTGAGATAGGTAGTTTCATTCTCCCCATTTTGTAGAGTTCAAAATTAGGCTAAGAGAGATTGAGTTACTTGCCAAAGTCTCACAGCTAGTAAGTGGCAGCCCCGGGGGAGAGGTGCAGTGTTCTTGTTAATGTCAGTCACATGCCCAGGGCTTACGCTACTATTAGACCACCAGTAGCCTGTTTCCCAGACATAACCCATATTCATGTGCACCTCCAGAGCCTTACGTGCAGGACCTCCCAAGGTGTGTGTGGGCCAGGGTGGATTAGGTAACCAGTTCCTGCCCCCAGGACTTGCTGTGCTGGCAGCACAAACCTTGAGGATTCAGCCAGGCCTCTCAGCTGTTCCTGAGCTGCAGTTAAGGCTGCCCACAATTCAAGAAGCAAGGCCCAGAGGTCTAGTTTTGTCAGAGGCTGTACCCAAAGAAGCCTGATGTGGAGAATGAGTGGTAGTCGCAAACATCTGCAAATAGAAATTGTTCCAGGACCCCAGGGCAGAGATCTTTCCAGTTGAAAGAGACCCTTCCAAGGACTGGGAGATTGAGTATACTATCCTATTGAAAGAT